TTCCAAACCTCTTTCTCAGTGTCTTTCTTCTCCTTCCCCCTCCTCCTCCTTCTTCTCTTCCTCCATGAGCTCATAGGCATATCTGGAGGCATGTTAAGGAGCTGAGTCTTTGCTGGAAAAAGATGCAGAGTTGATGGGCCCTGCAGAGCCGAAAGCATGCAAATCTTCTGATCTGCTGGGAGCCAGGGCTGTGGCTGAGCCCATCACTGATGGAGCACACATGGGGGGCACCCCCAACAGCCACAACCACCTTCCAGAACCTCATTTGGGGGGGGGGCAGTCTCTGGTGTTCCCACTTCCCCTGGGGTGTGAGGGAGCGCTGTCTTGCAGGAAGCAAGCCATAGCTGACCACCACGCCCTCACACCCAGGATCCACGCCTCCCAGGAGTTCCTGGAGGACCCAGGAGCTGGGGGTGCCCCTGAGCTGCCGCAAGCAAGGACGTGACTCACAAGGCCCCAGGTGGGGGCTGCTTGGGGGCCTCTGCTCTCCTGCTTCAGCCACCTCCCGGCCCGCCAGGGACCACCGGTCACAGCCTGCAAGCAACTCAGGAAGATCTCGGAGGGGTGGGGGGAACCATTCATTCTACTTCCCTTTGGGGCTTAGGAACTCAACCCACATATGAGCTTTACAGTTGCTTCATTTGTAACATGAAGTGCAGATGGCAGGTAATATTTGAGAGCTTGAGCTATATATCCAGGAGTGGGGTCTACAAAGAGTCAGACCATATTATCACCAGTGCAGGGGCTCTTGAGAACCCAGATGTAGCCCTCCTTCCCACGCAAGAATCCCAGGAGGAGGGATGGGAGAGGTTTCCAGGCCCCAAGATCCTGGGTCCACAGGGACCTATTCTCATTCTCAGCACAGGGCACTGTGAGCATAGAGGGCACACACTATTCAATAGTGATTTCTGCCCTTTGTAAATTATTTAAGAAATCTGTCATTTTATTAGAAAGAAACCAGTGCATGACTTTCCTGGATAACACTGCTTTTTCATAATAAAGACTCTTTCTGTAGTTGGCATCTGTTTGTTATCACCCACCCCGACTCTGAGCCAGCCTGCCCCCAGATCAGGGGGAACACAAGCAATGGGAATGGTCTCTCAGCTTGGTTCAGAGCAAAGTATGTTTTAAAGGCAAATAAGGTTTTTATTTAAGTGACAACATTTGAGAGTTAAAAACCAGCTCACATCAAAATCAAGACCAGTTGTAAAAATCTTTTTAACTTCATAGTGCTGTTTTTGTCTTGTTAGAAATCTCGTATTTTACATTTTCTTTTCTAACGGATTTTTGTACAAGGCAGCCATGAGAAATAGAATAAACCTTTTTCACCACAGAACCATCCACCACAAATAATACTGCGAGTTACACACTTAGGAACAGTCAGACAGACAAGATCAGATGGGCTGCCAACGCCGAGTAAACACACCTAAGGACAGCGGGGTCCAAGGGTAGGAGTCCCCACCAGCCCGCCGCCCTATTGTCCCACCCCTCCTTGATGTCACCTGCCTCTCCTTGTGTGATGAGGGTGGGGGACAAACTCTTGATTTTTTTTTTTTTTTCCAATCACCCTGTTGGTTTCTCAGCCAGGAGTCAAGGACCCAGGCCATGCCTTGCTGCTTGGACTGAACCCTACTTAGGATTTTTAAGAAAGTTGCCCCATGCCCGGGGTCAGAGGAAGGACAGGGGACGTTTCTTTTGGTTGAGCCAAAAGAGAATAGGTTTCCAGAGCACTTGGCACCCCAACCCCCCGGGGATTCTGCAGGAAGGTTGGTCATTTAAGGCGGGGTCAAGTTGAGGCTCCGCAGGCAAGGCACCCCTCCCGGGCGGAGCTGCACCTGGGCTGGGTGGGTGAGTGTCCCCGCAAGACCGGCACCACCTCGGGACCCATTTCCACATGCCTCGGGGTCCGGATTCCATTGAAACATTGGTGCCATGTTTTGTCTGCAGGGTACTTCCAGGGCGTGGGTCTGGGCTCCAGAGTGGTAAAAGTACAGTTTAAAAACCATGAGATCCAGCCTCCCCTCTTTCCTAGAGCCCACCCCCAGTAATGTCTGGAATAATGGGGTTCAAAACTTTATTTTCTGTGGCCCAGCATCCAGACTGGAGGGTCATTTATCCAAATGCATGAAAGAGTCCAACTTTTTTTTTTTTCAATGTATCTGTTGTGGAGCCTAAGAGAGGAGTTGAGATCTTTAGAAAAATGCCATGAGGCTGGAAGAGCAGGCCCTAGCTACAGATGCACCCTGAACCCCCAACAGGGCGAAGGTAGGGAAAGGCAGCAGGCAGGCCATCTATCGGGATAGCCCCCCAGGACTAGGAAGAACAAACATGCCACACAAGAAACAAGGAGCTTTGGTCAGGCGGGAAGATCTGTTTTCCAGCCCCTGGGAGCAGGCATACCAGGAGCTGGAAGGATTCTCTAGAAAACAGCCAGATTGGGGGTCACAGAACTACTCAGGGAGAGGCAGCGGCAACCCCTCCAGAGAACACAAGTTGGTTCTTTGTTTTTCTCCAACGCAACTGGATGGACAAAAATCAAACAAACCACTAGCAGAGAAAGTGCATATTGGTTACAGAGTTGCCATGAAAGCAGTACTGAAACAAATCTGATCACTGTACAGAACCCCACGTACATACACTCACACACACCAACTGCAGCTCCCAAAGCACTGTGTTCAGAATACCTCATTGTACACCTTCCACATCAAGGTGCAAGTCGCCAGAGCCCCAAACTGGAGCTCTGGGAGGGAAGGGGTGTGGGCCCTCCTGCTGGGGCTCACGTCCCAGCTCTGACCCCCACAACCACAGAACCCTGCTCCCCCAGACTCCAAATTCTTCAGGGTCCCAGCCTCTCTTGCTCCCAGGCTGGGGTTCTCAGGAAAAAAAGGGGTAGAGGTACTCTTACTGGAGAAGAAGTATCTCACGCTAATTATTTCATCACTTGAGAGTAATACATCAGTGGCTTCTGCAAAAAGGAGATGGATTTCAGAGAAGCAGACTATGTCTGCCCAAGTTTAATTCGGGGTCTATTTTGGAAAGGAGGGGAGAGATTGGCTTTGGGGTGACTATGCCATAGGAGCTGGTGCCCAATGGAGAGCCAAGAAGGATGAAATGTTAAAGGAGGGGTGGGCCCGTCGTGAGCCACCAGAAGGCAGAACCAGAGAAGAAGCTGGGGGTGATCACCCTTCCCCAACAGACTTGCCAGCAGCTCTGGGTTTGGGTGCAGATGCAGCGCTGGAAGTGGAGCTGGAGAAGACAGTTCTCGTAGGGCAGGAGTGAGGGCTGGGAGCCCGGACCCCTCCAGCCCCAGAGGGGCGTCGAGTGTGCCAGGTGATTCACAACAGCAGGGCCAGTTGCCCCCGCCAGCAGCCGCCACCGGGGAGGACCCTGGCCACATGAGAGCTGCGAGAGGTAGACAGCAGAAGCAACAGTGAGCGACACAGGTGCCTGCTGGGCATACAGACGTCTGGGCCCTGGGGCAGCCCAGCCCCTGACACAGAGCCCGGCCGAAAGAGCTGGACCAGCCTCAGCAACAGCCCGGAGGGACTCAGAGGCGGCCCGGGAAGCACCCCACACGGGCAGGCGTGGGTCTGGGCCAGGGAGCAGGAGAAGTGCAGGAGACCAATGCCCTGGCCAGGGGCTCAGCAGCAGGAAGGCCTGGGCAGAATTTGAGGGAACCCCAGGAGAGCCAAGCCCTGCCAACCTCAAGGGACAACCCAAGAGGAGGTTATGGGCATTAAACCAAGCTGAGTGGCTGGGGGAAGGGCAGAGAACACAACAGTTTGAGCCAAAATTACATGAAACCCCAGAGCTCTGGGACCTCAGCTGTCTACCTTCCAGGAGCCAAAGGGAGAAATCACTCTGAGCCGAGCTGGGGAGGAGGAGCCAGGCCAGGACCTGCTGGGAGATGTCTCTGTTCCTGGGACACCAGGTTTGGGTATCAGTGCAAAGCAAACCTCTCCACGGAGCAGGGACTCCCCTTCCCAGCAACCCCCGCAGAGAGGCTTCCTTGGAAGTGGGGGGGCAATGGGCCCCCAGAGCCCCTCTCTCAGTTTGCAGGGAGGGTATAGATCACTAGGCATTCTGAAGGGCTCTTAGGCCTGAAATGCCGCAGAGGGCAGAAGTGCAGGGCAGCCTAGGAGTCAAAAACACCCCACAATCTCAGCTGGGGAGACCCCTCCAATTACAGAAGGAAGGCAGGGCCCAGCGAGGGCAAGCAACAGGCTCAAAGGTTCCCGGCCAGCCGAGCTAGGCCAGAGCCCAGGGCCGCAGCCTCACGGCGGACGGCACCAGGCAGGACTCCGGGAAGAGGCAGGAGTGTCCTCCAGGGCTCCGGGAGAAAGGCGAGGATACGGAGGACAAGAAAAGGGGCACAATAGACAGCTGCAGGAGGACAGAGCGTCAGCACCAGACCCCACCCCCAACCGTCTGTGGACAGACAACTCAAACACAGGATGAACCTACCCGACACCCTCGCACTCCCAGAAAGTGCCCACTTGGCCACAGGAGAGCCAGGCCCAGGATGGTGACCTGGGATGTCGCCAGGGGGCAGGCACAAATGCCACTTGCCCCCCCTCCCCTCACCCCAGCAGGCAACCAAGAAGCTGCACTTGCTAGTGGCTTTTGGTCCCTGATCTGGGGGCGCCTCCCTTGAGGGCCTGCCAACCATCACTGCCGAAGCCTCCGGAACTCAGAGAGATGGTCGACTTTGTCAAACACTCGGGCTCCTGGCAAGCCTGCCCCCGGGGGGTTACACAGACATCCACCCGGACTGGGGCTTGCGTTGCAGGCCTAAGGGAGCAGCAGCGACTGCATTGAGACCCCTGGATCTCACCCCTTTGCCGCCCAGGGAGCCTCCCCGCCAAGGCCGGGCAGGGTCCCTCCCGCCTCGCTGGTTGGACACTTTGCTGGACAGACACGGGAGGGAAAAAGCAGGAAACAGCCTGTGTCTGCCGGGGACAAGGCAGCCCCTCCCGTCCCCGCAGGCAGCCCTGGTGGGCCCCCCACCCCCTGCTCTGCTGCACCGCCCCGCCCTCAGGGCACCGACTCGAACTTGGGGGGCCCGCGCGCCCAGCTGAGCGCGGGCAGGGGCCGCTCGTGGTCCTTGTCGGACTCGGGCTGGCTCTGGGCCCGCTCGGGCTTGGGGTTGGCGGGCGGGTCGGGCTGCTGCACCGACATGGTCCGGCGCAGGTGGTTGCGCTTCCGCAGGAACTCGGGCTGCGCGTGGAGGCCGAAGCTGCCCTTGCGTAGGATCATGCGTGAGCTGTTCTTTTTGGGGCGCGAGCGGTGGCCGGACTCCAGCGCCGCCAAGTGTGCCGCGTAGCCCTCGCTCAGGAACTGCGGAGGGGACAGGGGTCAGGTCAGCGGGGGCGGGCAGGCCCTGGTCCTGTCTCCTGCCCCCGCCCCCACCAGCCCCAACAACGCCCCTTCCCTGGAGCACCCAGCTTCTACCGGACCCAGGTTGCTCATTACTCTTCGAGGCTCCCTGCCTGGCTTGGCACAACTGAGTGCTTCGGTCTGACCCATGGGTCACACCTGGGATCCCCTGGATTCCTGAAGCTCTGTCATCCTTGTCACTTTCACTAAGGTCCCCCAAAGGTAAGTCTCTCTCCTCCTCCAGCTTCTACCCCAGGAAACTTCATCGATGTTTTCCTGGCCCCCACAGTGGCCCTCCTGTCCAGTTCCTTCTGCTGGGCCTGCAGAACCTTGCTACTCAAAGTGTGGGCCGTGGACCAGCAGCATCTGCAGGACCTGGACCCTTGACAGGCAGTCAGGCCCCACCCTAGGCAGAGGAATCTGAATGTGCATTTTAACAAGCTCCCCCGGTCATCCGCACGTAGGTTAGAGTTGAGAAGCCCTGCTCTGACGGTCCCCACTCGGAGTTCCCACCGTCTCTGCCCTTGTACCTGATGCTCACTCTCAAGCACCTCCACTCAACATGGTGCAAAGAGATCATTATCACCTTCCCATCAATCGCCTGCTTCTCAATCCCAGTAATGGTACTACCTGCCTGGTTGCCCAGGGCTTCCCAGGTGCCGCCCGTGGTAAAGAACCTGCCTGCCAGTGCAGGATATGTAAGAGACGTGGGTTTGATCCCTGGGTTGGGAAGATCCCCTGGAGGAGGGCATGGCAACCCACTCCAGTATTCTTGCCTGGAGAATCCCATGGACAGAGGAGCCTGGCGGGCTACAGTCCCTGGGGTCACAAAGAGCTGGACACAACTGAATCAACTTAGCACACATGCACCTAGTCTCCCAGGTCAGAACCAAGCGCCATCCTGACGTTCCGTTTCTCCCATCCTGAGAATCTGATCCCTTCGTTACCAAATCCAATCCATCCTGCTTTAGGAGTGCCTCTCAAACCCTTGTCCTTCTCTGCCCTGCCGCCACCCTACCGCTGCTTGCCTCCCCCTCCCCTTCCTCTGATGCCCCCTCCAACCCCAGCCTGAGGGATCTCTCTAAATCAGGAGCCAGACACACAGGCCCTCCGAGATGCACCGCTCCAAGCCCTGCTCCCTCCCGTATCGCCCTTAGCCAAGCTGAGTCACTTGCAGTTAGTTCCCAGAATATACACTTGTTCTGCCACCTCCTGACCCTTCATTTTGCTGCTGCCTCTGTCATAAAGGCTCCTTCAACCTCAGGCCCTTCACGGACAACTCCTTCCAACTTTCAAAAATCAACCTTGTCCTTGAGTCGGGTTTAGCTGCCCCTCTTTAGGGCCCACAATTCTCTGTGCCCCCCTGTCATTCATTATGGCTACTGACACACTGCACTATCATTATTGGCTAGTTTTTCCATCTCCCCATCTAAACTGGGTGACATGACATCCGAGTCCACCTACACCCCACACAGGTACCCAGCTGTGTTTGTTGAATGAATGAATGAGCAAATGAAAGAACGAACAGGTGACTGAATGAACAAACAATGGAATAAACCACCTTCTCCCCCTCTCTGCTTTTACTGGCCTCACACCCCCACTTCCACCCACCTGGCACTGGGTTTGGTACTTCTTGGTAGGCCGGCCCACGATGAAGATCTGGGAGGGTGGCAGGCCCAGCACACTGTAGACAGAGATGTCCTTCGTGGAGCCGTAGGCTGCACTGATTTTGATGAAACACTGAAACACAGGGTAGCTGATGCGGGTTGGGGCAGTGCATCTGCCACAAAGGATTCCTAGATGTCCCCTCAGGGAGCACTGGTGGGGGAACCCTTTCTCTGCACACAGTCAGACTCCAGGTCATGGGTCCACCTTGCATCAGGGGCCACTCCCTGCAGTGGCCTCCCCTTCCTAAACCCCACCGTTCTCATCCATCAGTGGAGATGGAGGAGATACACACCTCGCTGGGCAGTAAAAGGACTGATGAGATGCACGTGAATGTGCTTTGCCAACTGGGCATCCGCTTGGACAATCAGAGGATGTGGGGTAAAGGAGGGGCTCCCCCCAGGTTGAGGGAGGAGGAGGGGGTGAGGAGGAGGGTGGCCAAGGACTCACTCCTCCCCGGCCGAAGCCCCTCCCCCGCTGGACACTCACCTCCTGCATCAGGTTGCGCAAGAAGATGGCCTTCTGCCGCAGCGGGTCGTGCACCAGCCCATCGGAGAAGAAGATCATGCCCTGTGGGAAGTTGTGCTGGGACAGCCACGACACCACCCGCTGCTTCTGCATGTCCGGCCGCCCCGTGATGTAGAGGATCATGTAGCCCAGGTCCTGCCAGTGCCTGGTGAGAGGATATTGCAGGTTCCAGCCCCCGCCCCATGCAAGCCACCCACTGCCCAGCAGCCCACACCCCCTGCTTCCCCCATACTCCCAAAAAGCTGGAGGCGCTGTTCCAGGGCATGGTAGGGGAAAACAAGGGGGACCCCGAAATCCACACCCTGAGTTGAGCCCCGTGAGTCCTAACCATCTCCCCCAGATGGCCACAGGCGCCAACCGCATGCCCACAGCCCAGCTGGTCCCCCCACCCCTGCCTTCTCTACTTGGGTCCCCTTCTCCCTGATGCCACTGTCATCACTCAAGTTTCTGGAGCCAGAAGCCAAGCCACTTGGGTTTCTCCCTTTCCCTCAGTCTCCTTGCCAATCAGCGAGCCTTTCATTCTACCAAGCAGCATCTTCACTCCACCCTCTCACTTTAACTCCACTTCTGAGCCTCAGCTCAGGACTATTGAACTGGTCCCCAAGAACTCCCAGGACTGGGATCAGTCCACTTCTGGCACGCGGATGACCCAGAGTCCTGGAGGACAGTTTCTTGTGCCCATGACTTATTTTCTTCCACGGGACTGTGAGTTTCCTCCAACTAGGAGCTCTTTCTGCATCAGTGCCAGAGCCTGGCCCAGAACTGGCCTCGGAAGATCAGAAGGAGGCAGATAGGGAGGGAGGAACTCAAGTGGTACCCCTTCTATTTTTCTCGTGACAAAATCCTTTCACACGTCTTTCTGCAGTACAACAGCCATGGGAGATTGTTTCCAGCCACACTTCCCACCCTGTCCTAACCTGGCTTACAACACCCAATGGCCCTGAACTTTATCCCTACACACTGTCTGTTCTTCCCTGTCCTTCTCACTTCCCTGGCCTATCAAACTCAGTCCTGTATTTTCTTCCTTTCGCCTTTCTATTTGTGCTCATCTTTGTACAGTGGCATGGATTGAAATATATATGCACCTGTCCTTCAAGGGCTGACTCAAATGCCACCTCTCCCAGGAACCCTACTCTGCTTTCTCCAGTCAGCTATAAAAAGTCCAGTCTCTTGATTGGCATTGTGTGTTAGCTAGTCTCGAAAGATGGGCCCCCCCAGTGAGCCATGTGTCCCAGTAGTCACACCTTTATGTGTTCCCTTCCTCTTTGAAACTGGGCTGATCCTGGGATTAGCTTAGAACTAATAGAACAAGTGTAGTAGAAAAGACACTGAATCCCAAGGCTGGGTACTAAGAAGGCTTGTAGCTTCCAGCTGGGTATCTGGGAACCATAGTAGGCCAGTTACCAGCAAGGAAGCCCATCACCAGGTACCAAGTCTGGCTAGTCTGAGACCACCCAGGCTGGCCACCTGGAGCAGCCAAGTGGAGAGAGAAAAAGACAGACCCCAGCCAAGGCACAAGATACATGAGTTCATCACCCATCTTGAACATCTTGAACATCCAGCCCTTAGATGACCCCCAGCCTAGACCACAAGCTGAGTGCCATTTCTGGAGAGGCCCCCTCTGAGAACCTCCCAGCAGAACCTAATCAATCCATGGAATGATGTCACAGAATAATAAACTACTATCATAACTCACTAAAAATGGAGCCATTTGCTCCATGGCGATTGGTAATCAGAACATAACAATTTTATCCTGATTGGGATCTGAATGCAAGAGACCCTTCCTGATTCACTGCGCAGAATGCTCTGACAGTGTTAGGATAAATGGAGAGGGAGGCAGGGAGGAACAGAAGGCTGGAAGGAGGTGGAGTTTCTCAAGAACCCTCAGTAAATTACTCCTGCAGGTGAAGTTAGGACTCCTGGCTCCCAGCCCAGAGACTAGTGGAATTCCTAGAGGAAACTAGAAAAACACAGCCCACCTCCCGCACAGCCACTGGTTCCTTCCCCAGAGGATGTGTCCTCTTCAGGAAGGAAGCGCTCACCGGACAACGTCCACTGCCCCCGGCCGGACCTTGGGGTCACTTCCCATGATGGACACGCTGGCCGCAAAGGAGCCGTCGATGCTGAAGACCACGCACTCCATGCCCCGGGGCAGCACTGTGAGGTAGCTCATCGCGCAGGTCTGGTCGCCCCTGAAAGGTGCCCACCTGGGGGTTAGCTGTGTACTCAGGGTCAGGTGTCAGCCTGAAGCCAACATCAGCCCTTGGCCAGGGTCACAGCTCAATTGGGGCCAGGATGAGAGAGAAACTGGGTGGCACCTCCTGATGCTAAAGCAGTGACTACATCCATTTTCCTCTCTCCCAGCAGACAGGGATGGGGCCCAAGACAGCATCCCCAGGACCCCATCTTCTGGACAGACCTGGAAGGGCCATGGAATTGGGTGAAACCACTGTAAGAATGTCCCCTGGATCTGACCTGACGACCATCTTGACGGGGTAGACGCCGACCCCCAGGCGCCGGGGCCGTGGCACACTATATGTGATGCGCCCACTGCTGTTGGTGATCTCTGTGTCCAGGTGCACCCAGCGGCCGGAGGACGGCTCTGCCATCACCAGGATGTCCACCTGCAGGTGGCGAGGGGGCCAGGGGACTCGCTGAAAGCCGGGGAGGGGGCTGGACTTGGGAGCTTTCTACCAAGACCGCAGGGCTTGGAGTCCCTACTTGATGCTAGTTCCTGGCTCCCACCATCCCTTCTCTCTCCACTGCAGCCACACCAGCTTCTCCGAAGCACCCAGTCCATCCCTCACTCCCACTCACCCTCCCTGACCCGGGTGAACATCTCCCACCTCGTGCAGCCAGCCCCTCCCCGCAGCCCTTGGCCCAGGTGCCGTCTGGTACCCAAGAAAGGAGGGCCCAGCTTCTGTACCTTCTCGCCGGTCAGGGCCACCATGTCGAGGGGCCCGTACATGAACCTCCCCACCAGGACCTGGGGGCCATCTTCGGCAGCAATCACGTCGTTGGCCCGGTGGTTGGCAGTGACATTCTGGAAGGACAGAAACCAGCTCCACCTCTGCAAGGGGACTTGACCTTGGTTTTTCTTTACATCGTCCTCAGGATGGGTTGGAGGGATGGTCCCCTGTGAAATCTTGCCTTCCTTCCTTGTTAACCCCATTAAAGTTTCCAAGACGTGTCCCCACAGAACCCCTGAAGAAAACAGACCCTTAAAACTTCACATCATCTCCAAGGAGTGCTAGGCTCCCACAAATGAGCATCCTCTGCTCTTAATGCTCCCCATGGCCTGGAACTAACAGTCAGTCCTCAGAGCCTGGCATCCTTCTAGAAGGCCAGACTGGAAACTACGAGTCACCGTCGCTTCTTGCTTCCACATCACGGCTCATATCCAGTAGCCATTTACCATCCATCTTCGCTTAGTGGGCGATTTAAATGTCAAGAGTAGGGAGAACAGTGTAGGAAGCCTTGTGTGGCTGGAAACCAGTCACAGCCCTTCTGGCTCCCTTCTTCCTTTGCAGGATCCCCCACCACACCCCTGCCACACTCCAGATTATTCTGGAGCAATTCTGGACATTGCATCATTTGTTTGTAACTATATCCCAGCACCCCCCTCCTTCTTCATGTCTGGTTTCAATTCATTTCGTAGCTCCCAGCCTGGACCACCTACCACTCCCAGGCTGGCTCCAAGACCCCAGACCACTGAATTTTTACAAAACTGCCTACATCAGTGTCTCTGCCCACACCCCAGGTACCTCTCACGTGGACTCTGCTAGTAGCATCTTAAAGGAGCCCCTTATTCAAAACACAGCCCCCACGCAGATTCATTGTCTTTACAAAGCACAGAACTTTTAAGCTCCTGGCTCCAAATCCTGAGCCTGACATCAAAACTTTGCTGGGAAACCTTTTCAGTCCCCCCTCATGCTGCTGCCCTTTGAAGCCCAGCTGGCTCAGGCTCTGCAGAGAGGCCTCAGGGCCTTTGCTCACATTGATTACCCAAACCCCCAGCCCCCTGACTCTCCACAGCATCCCTGGTCCTCTGTCTCCGCATTCCAGCCCATCCACTATGACCTGACTCAATTTCGTCCTCTCCAAGAAGCACCCGGGGACTCCCTAGACACAGTCTCTACCTCCTCTCAATTCCCACGGAATTTTAATTCAATAGTTCAACAAATATCTGCAGGCACCTCATTCCCGCAGGTCCCTGGGCTGGGCTCTGGGTATGCAGAGAGGGAGCAGTCATGGACCCTGACCTGGAGACACTTAGTCAAGTGAGGAATGCAGGCCCCCTAACAAGAATTCTGATGACAGAAGATTCCATTCACGGAAATAAACACAAGGAAAGATGTCATAAAATGAAATTAAGTACTGACACAAGTCACAACGTGAACGAAACTTGAAAGCATGCTCAGTGAAAGTAGCCAAACATAAAGGACCACATGTTGTATGATTGCATTACATGAAATGTCCAGAATTAGTAAATCTATAGACACAGAAAGATTACTGGTTGCTCAGGGTTAGGGGTGGGAGTAACAGGCTGCGGAGGGGGATAGTGGCTAAAGCGTAAGGGATTTCTTTTGGAGGTGATGAGCGGTTCTAAAATTAACTGCAATGATAGCTGCACACAGTTGTGAATATACTAAGACACTGAATTGCATACTTTAAGTGGGTGAATTGTGTGAAGTGTGGCTAAAGCTCAATAAAAATGTTTACAAAAAAGAGTTGATTCATGGATCACCCTCTACCACTTAAGACTATTCTTGGGGTTCATGTCTGAGGTTCCCACAAGACTAGAAGTGTCCACCATAGCAGTGGCTGTCTGTATATTCCTGTGCCCACCGCCTGGCAGAAGGCCAGGGACAAAGTGGGTATGGATGATTGTTTGCTGAGTAAATGAATGTATGTGGACCCAACTCCTACTCATACTCCAATACCTTGCAGAGGTGACACTTCTTCAGGGACACCCTGCACAGCTTACCCTGACAATCCTTCTCTCCATCTTCTTCCTAATCTGGGCCTCCCTCTATATCCTGGCAAATGCCACCCCAGGCGGTGAGCCCCATGGTTGTAGGGAGAACTCTTTCTGACTCATGTGCACACCTACAGAGGCCTGGCATACAGGTCCATATTTGGCATCTCATCTCCATCCTCAGTGCCCTGGACCTGCACCCACGGTGCTCCTGTGGAGGCAGGCCATGGGGAACCAGCTCACCCATCTCATCTGCTCCGCACCTCCACCCCCACCTCTACAGCAACCCTGGGGGCCTTGTCTAAGCATGAATCCCAGCATGTATCAGCATGGAGCTCTATAACCCAAGCCCTTCCCGGCCATGTGGATGCCCCATCCCCTGGGGACAGCCCCACCTCCCTGACACCACAGCCCCAACCCGTAGGCGCCTCCAACAAAGCACATACCCGCAGCTTGACCTGGGTCCTCTTACGAAGCCACTTCTCACGGGGGTTGGCGGGGCTCAGTGCCGCAGGGTCCAGGCCAGCGCTCTCCTTGACATTCACGCTCTCATAGCGCATCACCTGATCAACAGCCCAGCAGGACTGCCGGTCAGGCCGTCTGAACCCCTCCCCCTCCTCCCCCTGGTGTCAAGGTCCTCCCACTTACAGCCAGGCCCTTCTCCAGGCCTCCCCACCTCCCAGCCTGGGACCCTCAGGGCAGCCTTACTGCCCACCTGTCCTGACAGCTGGGGCCAGACCACTGTCTCTCAAATGCTCTGGCCCGGGAGCAGCCCCTGCTCTTGACGCCCCAACCCAGGAACCACCTGGGTCTATACGCATTCACTGCCTTCCCCCTGCCCCCGTCATGGTGGGTGACTGTTATCAAGGGCCAGCTGGAGCCCTGGTCCCAGCTCCACCCACCTGCTCAAGAACATGATGGAGCAAGCTCCCTCTCAACCCTGCATCACTAGTTAGCCCCTCACTACTGGCTCATTCTCCTTAGCATCTAAATTAGCATCCCGTCTCCTTAGCATCCCATAGAGATTTTGCTGGCGGTACAGTGGTTAAGGCTCTGCACTTCCAATGTAGGGCTGTGAGTTTTATCCCTAGTCAGAGAACTAACATCCCTCATGCTGCACGGCCTGATCAAAAAAAAAAAAAAAAAAAAGAAACCAAATAGTGTTGTTTTTTTCCAAAAATCTAACAAATAAATAAATAGTAAACATATGTTCTAGTGCCTCTTTCTAGGCTCCATCTTCAACAACCATCACCTGTCCCTGTTCTCCTTGACAGCAACAGACTACAAAAGACTTGGCCTACACTATCTCCCCTTCCTCACTGCCACCTCCCCTCCCCCAGCTCCAGGCAGGCTTCTGACCCAGTGGCTCTGTGGAAGCCACTCCTGCCAAGGCCCCGTGACCGTGACCTCCATCCTGCCCAACTCAGAGGCCCCTCCCGTCTATCCACTCTGATCCACCTCTGACCTCAAGGGGTGTCCTCCTCCTTCTCTTTCAGTGGCCCCTCCTCTCTCCCCAGAGGGATTTGGGACTCCTCCCTGAACTTCTCTATCCACAGAGACTCACTCCCTCAATCTGTGATACTGTGATTTATAGTAAGAGGTAAATGTCTTTGTCCAGCTTCAGGCACAAAGCTCCTAAAATCCTTGGAATTTCCTAAGCGAGAGGTACAAAGGTGTCTTTTGTTATGTTAATGAGATGAGTTGCACCACGTCTCAAGGGGCTGGTTGCCAGGAGAACCAACCTTGTAATTACAGCGATTTTCAGTCCCACCCCCACCATCACGACCACCTCCTGCGAAGGGCTGGAGGTTGGAGTTCAATGACCCATGGCCACAATTTAATCAATCAAATCTATGTACTGAAGGCTCCATAAAAACCCAAAAGGATGGGGTTCAGAGAGCTTCCACGTTGGTAAGCTGTGAAGCTGGGGGACAGTGGTGCCCTCTGAGAGGGCATGGAAAACCCACCTCCTTTCCCCACACCCTGTCCTTTGCATCTCTTCCATCTAGCTGTTCCTGAGTTAAATCTTTTATGTGCTCAGTCACTTCAGTCATGTCTGACTCTCTGCAACCCCGTAGGCTGTAGCCTGCCAGACTCCTCTGTCCATGGGAACAGTAAAGTGGATTGCCATGCCCTCCTCCAAGGGACCTTCCCAACCCAGGGATCGAACCAGCATCTCTTGTGTCTCCACCTCCTTGGCCATGGAGGGTGCATGCAGTCCAGCCCCCACCTCCCAGGCTCTCTCTCAGTCACTGGCCTCTCTGCTCCACCTATTTGACAGATGAGGACACTGAGACCCACAGGAGAACCAGCGTGATGACTGCAATCTCCAAGTTGAAACATGGGCACATTCTCCTACATGGCATCTATTTAATTTTCTAGAAAGTGCCATGACATTGACCAGAAGCCATATGCCTTACGAAAATGGTTGCCTGTCCAGGTCACTCCCCCCTCCACTTGCCATGCTCCAGTGTCTAATGTGACCGGCAAGGCAAGCGTCTTCTCCCCCGAGGCTTCCCAGGCAGGGGCGGCGTACCTGTCTCAGGATGAAGGCCACCACGTCCGTGGACTCCCAGTAGCTGGCGTGGAAGAGGTGGGGCAGGGCCACGGTGGGGAAGGCCGTGAGAACGTCAGGGCAGTACAGGGCGTAGTCGATGCGCTTGGAGCCCCACCACTTGGCTGTGACTGTGGATCCGAGAGGGATCTGAGCAGGACTGAGCAGCCTGCCCCAGGGCCTTGACCCAAGGGGCAGTGCGTGTGGGACCCCTAGGGTGCAGATCCAGTGGCGGACACGCCACTAGAGACATGAATTTGGAGCCAGAGCACTAAGCTCAAAATGAGCTCTAGGAAATGAGCTCTAGAAAATGAGCTCTAGAAAACTCTTCCTCCAGCTTTGACAACCCCCCAGCCCCCTCCCCCAGCCAACTGGCCTCCAGGTCGCATGCTGCAAACTGGTCCCCAGAATGGGGGCCGGACCCACGGACATATAGAGTCTCACCCCAGGGCTGCTGGTCAGAGGGACTCCATGGGGGAGACTGAACGTTGGGATTAGGGCTCTGGCTGAGGTCAGAGCTCAGACCACTGTCAGAGGTCAGGACCCCTGTCCAGGTCAGAGGTCACAGTTCTCTCTGAGGTCAGAGCTCAGTCTAGATGTCCTGTTCCCCTCCTCCCCGGTCCTCAACAGCCCTGGCAGGGAACCAGTGCCCACCCGGAGGAAGCCCCGCTCCCGTGAGTCCAGGCGCGGCCCAGGAGACCCTCACTCACTGCGGGAGGCACCCACGGGGGCCAGGCTGTCCGAGGACTCCGAGCTTTCGCTGGAGCTGCCCTGGCTGATCCTTCGTGCCCGGCGCTGGGATCTCGGGGCCTGAGGGGGTGAGGCGGGGGCGTCCAGCAGCGGCGGGCTGCCCCGGGAGCTGCCCTCCAGGAAGAGGGCACTGTGGGTGTGCAGGGCATCAGCTGGAGGGGGAATTTCACAGTCAAGTCCTCATGGTGGTGGGTTTAGTCGCTAAGTCGGGCCCAACTCTTGCAACTCCGTGAACTGTAGCCCGCCAGGCTCCTCTATCCATGGGATTCTCTAGGCACGAATCCTGGAGTGGGTTGCCATTTCCTTCTCCAGGGGATCTTCCCGGCCCAGGGATCGAACCCTGGTCTCCTGCATTGCAAACAGATTCTTTACCAACTGAGCTATGAGGGAAGCCCAAAATAGAGGATAGCACGCCTGAACAAGGACTTGAAACCTGGACCCTCAGATTAAAATTCTGATGCTCTACCAACTGAGCTATTTAGCCCCGCCTCAAGGCCAAGTGGTGGGTCTCAAATGGAGCTGCCCGGGCTGTGCCAGCCCCATGCTGGCTGAGAGTCTGGGCACCTGGGGAGGAGCCAGCACCCCTGACTGAGACCCCTTCACCAGGTACCCGTTGGTTTCACATCCTCCAAGCCATGAGTTATACAGGCACAAGTCAGGGTCCCAACCATCACGTCCAACCCCAGCAGAGCTGCCGAGGGCGCCTCTGGGACACTGCACCCAAAGCCACAGCTGAAGTCGCAGGTGACAACCACATGCTTTGTAGCATACTCCTCTGGGAGCCTCGGAGGATTGCGGCTGAGCCTGGACATAAACAAGCCTGGGGGCAAGGGTGCCCTTCGGGGGCAGGAGGATGCCCTGGCCAGAGATGGTCACACTTTAGGATGCCCTTCTCCCTGGTGACTCAGAAGGTAAAGAATCTGCCTGTAATGCGGGAGATCTGGGTTTGACCCCTGGATTGGGAAGATCCCCTGGAGAAGGGAATGACTACCCACTCCAGTAATCTTGTCTGGAGAATTCTATGGACAGAGGAGCCTGGCAGGCTATAGTCCATGGGGTTGCAAAGTTGGACACGACTGAGTGACTTTCATTTTTCTATCTACAGAACCCCTCTATCAATAAAAACTCCTGACAAAACAGCACTTTGGAAATTAAGTTTCCTTTAGATGAGGCAGGAAGGGGTAAGCTGGGTTTAAGTCCTGAATGAGATACATGCATGGCAGCACCCCCCACCACCACCACCACCACTCCAGTCTGGCCCAAATCTCTGAACGGGGTCTGGCTAAACTTTCAAGGCTCTGATCTCCAAGACCTGACTGTCCATCCCAGGCCTCCCCTTGGCCTTACCCCAGTCCATGCCCAGCTCACCCCATGTGAGCCCCACAGGCCACTGGCCCTCCCCCAATCCACCTCCCTTGCTCCTGCTGTTCCTCCACCCAGAAGACCCCTCAAGCCTCACGCTCTAGCTCTTTTCCACCTGTACAAATGCTTTGAAGACCCCCTCTTCCAAGATGCCCACCAGAGTGACCCACTCCCTGACCTGCACCTCTAGAGTCCAGGCACTGGGAATAACACTCAGCATGGACCCCAGACTTGCAATCAGGTCTGACATCTCAGTATTACGCAGCCAGTGTTACGCTGGCCCCAGACACAAGAGCTAATCAGGGGGCAGAGCCAAAGATGCCCCCTGAAGAGCAGGAGCTCGCACAGATGGGCTGCTCCAAAGGCAGATGAGTCAGCAGTCTTCCTGTCCACCGCCCCCCCCTCAAGAGTACACAGACTTTGCTCAGGTGAGTCTAGCCACCCTGACACCTGACAGCTTGGAGGGGCTGGACCAGGCCCCACCTGCATGGAGCCCAGCCTCCAGCCCAGCACACTCTGACTCCCTGAGTGCCTACCGAGGAGGAGGGGCTGTCCGTCGCCCAGCGGGAACCTCTGGTAGCGGGGCACGCTGACGGGTGGCACCAGGTGGAACTTGGGCTCCAGCAGAGGTTCAAGCCGGGAGGCAGAGGGGTCTGCGCAGTGGAAGAAGCTGTAGATCTGACTGCAGGCAGGACGCACCTGGAAACCTTGGAGGGTGGGGGGAGGACACACAGGAAGCCCTTTGAACACCTGCTGCCTCGGTCCTAGGAGGCTCTTCCTCTGCTCAAGAACCTGCCATGGCTCCCTGCTACCAACAGGATCAGAGCCACTTGGTTCAGCTTGACCCTCAAGGCCTTGCCAGCCTGCCCCACTTGGAAGCACGACTGTAGGCACCCAGCACTGGGGCCGTGATGGACAGCTGCTTTCCATTCTCTATGCCTTTGCTCAAGCTCCCCCTGCTCTTAGCAAGATGTCCTCCACTATTTCCATTGATCAAACTCCTTTCAATTCTGGCTGTCTCCTAGTTGCTACCTGATCTATGAAGCAGACCTCGGGTCCTTCATTCAGGATCAGCTACCTCTTCCTTCTGCCCAGCTCAACTCCCAGACCCGGGGTAGTAAGTAAACTTAGTCTGTCAGAGCCGGCAGAACACTTCTCCCATTGACCAGCAGGTGTCTCCACTGAGGCCTCATCGCATCAGTTCGCCGCCCTGTCCGTCTCAGTCAAGGCGCTGGACCGTCCAGCATCCCGGGAGCCCTAGGTTTCCTTAGCAACGTTAACAGCGGCTGTGGGATTCTGCCTTGTTTCCCCTACTTCTATCAGAGCCCCTCCACCCCCGACTTTGTATCAGCGATCAATAGCCGTAGTGCAGGTTGTTGGTAAGCTTTGGGACAAAAGAATTTGCAGGATCCCTGATCCATTGTGCTCTGAGGGGCCTCCAGCCTCCTATATCCTCAGAGTCATTGCTAACCATCTTCTGGGGCAAATCACCTCTGGGAGTATTTCAGAGGAATGGGGGAGGGACATTCAAGGCTGTGGGGACCTTGAGAGCACAAGGTGCTGAGGTGGAGGGGGGCAGATCTGCAGGTGGCAGTAAGACTGACCTGGCTGCAGGGGGCCTACCTGGGCATTGGGGAAGGAGCGGGAGGGTACAGTAGGGTTTCTCTTCCCAGAGAGCATGACAGCCAGGCAATGGGGCCTGTGATAGGGAGTGAAATCCATCGGGGAAGTTGCCTCACTCTCCCTCCTGCCCCCACCCCTTTCTTCTTCTTCTTCACCTCTCTTTCCATCTACCCCCAATTCTCTGGTCCTCCCCACCCCCACTCTCCCCAGTTCCAGGCCCTGACACAATGGCCTAGTGACCCAAAGGCATCTCAGGCCCCAGCGAGCATCACACCCACCATCCAGTCCGGGCAGCACCGTCCTCCGCATGGCCAGGACCAGGCCCAGGGGCGAGCCAAAGAGGAAGAAGTCGGACACCTCAAAATCCAAGCGGCCCAGGCTGACCTCGGGGGCCTGGGGACCCCCGGCCGCTGGGGACTCGGCTTCATCCTTCAGCACATTGGAGTGGATGCTGGCCCAGGGAGGAAGATAGGGGAGTGCAGGTTAGGGGAGGACTGAGCTTACAGAAGGCTGAGCACCGAAGAATCGATGCTTTCGAACTGTGGTGCTGGAGAAGACTCTTGAGAGTTCCTCAGAAAACAAGGAGATCAAACCAGTCAATCCCAAAGGAAGTCAACCCTGAATATTCATTGGAAGGACTGATGCTGAAGCTCCAATACTTTGGATACCTGATGCAAAGAGCCAGCTCATTGGAAAAGACCCTGATTCTGGGCAAGACTGAGGGCAGGAGGAGAAGGGGGCAACAGAAGATGAGATGGTTGGATGGCATCACCAGCTCAGTGGACATGGGTTTGAACAAACTCTGGGAGATGAAGGTGAAGGACAGGGAAGCCTGGTGTGCTGCAGTCCATGGGGTCACAAAGAGTTGGACATGACTTAACGACTAAACAACAATAAGCCTGAGGGAGTGAGCACCTAGCAGGGCAGCCTAACATCTGAGTTGCAGCACCCAGCCCTCTATCTCTGCGGCAGGGCTCAACCCGTGACCCACTTGCCTGATCACCAACACAAACTGGTGACCATCTCAGCATCTGCCACCAAGGCCTGGCCAACATTTGGCTAAGGCAGGAGTCAGCCAACTTTTCCTGTAAAGGGCCAGATGGTAAATATTTCAGACTTTGGGGTCCATATTGCCTCCATCACATCAACTTCACACTGCTGCATGGCATTTGGGTGATACATGAATAAACCCATGTGACCGTGATCCAATAAAACTGTCTTCCTTAAAATGGACTGAGCACCTGAAAACCTAAGCCTCCTGCCCCATCGTGCTAGTCTTGTGATGGCCACACTGAATTCCTACCCTGTCCAGCAGAGAAGCCCAGCCTGGCCAGACAGCTGGGTGATATCGGTCCTGCCAGGATGAGGGCTTTCATGGTAACTCATGTTCCAGGCAACCCGCAGACACAGATGCAAACAGCTTGGTCTTTCCTCCCCTCCAGCTCAGAGGAAACCGAACTTAAAGAGAAACACACGAGCCACACAGAATTCCAATAGTTCCCACCCCAGGCACCCGTTGCCTCAAAGAGCTCAAGTTGATGTGCAGACCCAGAGCAGGCTGCCAAAAATAGGCAGGAAAACTGGGGACCTCCCGAAACTTTCAGCTGCATTTATTTAGGTATCACTCAGGGTTTCAGAAAATCCAGTGGCATAAGATCTATGAATACATTTTTGTTATTGTTGTAGTTGCTAAGTCCCAGCCGACTCTTTTGCGACCCCATGGACTGTAGCCCACCATGATCCTCTCTCCATGGGATTTCCCAGGCAAGAATACTGGAGTGAGTTGCCATTTCCTTCTCCAGGGGATCTTCCCAAGCCAGAGACTGAACCTGCGTCTCCTGCATTGCAGGCGGATCCTTTACCACTGAGCCACCTGGGAAGCCCCATGAATCCATTAATGGAATGCAAATTCCACCAAAATATGCAAGTTGGAGGAAAAAGGGGATTTTAGAAATAACCTTAGTAATGTGTGCCAGTCCCCATCGCCTGTGGGCGAGGGTCTGGGCAGTTGAATCTGAATCCCCACACACCCTCTGCCTCTTGCAATGTGAGCATCTTGCAGTGAGGATGACGACCCTGCTGTTTAACAATTCATATTCCATGTACAGCGTGGTCCCTAAACACATACCAACTACTTAATTGCCAGAGAAACAGCCATCTGTCCCTACACCAGAGGGAAGAGCTAGCTGCACTGGACCAGCCACTGAGAGCCTCCAACTTCACGTCATTCTCCAAATGTGGGGCTTTCTTAAAGGATTTTTCAAGGATGAACCAGAAATGTTATGATTTTACCCTGCAACCTGACTTGAAATGTAGCTACTTCTCTCAAGAATAATCTTTCAGAGGGCCTTTGAATAGTCAGAGATTTAAATATGCAGAGCCTTTGACCTAATAATTCCTCCTCCAGGAACCCATCTGAATAAAACAGCCCTAATACATACCTAAACATTTATGCACAAAGATGTTTCCAGACTGCTGTTTATAATCGTAAAGAATTGGAAAAAAGCCAAAGTGTCCAGTTACTGGGACTGTGCCAGATATTATCCATTCACTTAATAAAACATTATTAAGAATATTTATCAGCATTTTTCATTATATGCTGAAAGACCATAATGTAAGAGTTTTGTTTCTTTTTTCTCTAAGTAAACCTACAGGCAAATCTTCCTTGCTGGCTCAGACAGTAAAGAATCTGCCGGCAACGCAGGAGACCTGGGTTCAATCCCTGGGTCGGGAAAATCCCCTGCAGAAGGAAATGGCAACCCACTCTAGTATTCTTGCCTGGAGAATCCCGTGGACAGAGAAGCCTGGCAGGCTACAGTCCATGGGATCACAAAGACATGACTGAGCTCTCAGACGTGACTGAGCAACTAACACTTTCACTTTCACGAGCAAAGCATGTAAAAAACATACTGAAAGGAATTAATACTCCAAAGTGTTAGCAGTGATGAGAGGATACATTTTCCAAATGTTGTGATGACCTGGTCCTACTTATCATTTGGGTAGAAAGGCAGGAAGGAGGATGGGAGGAGAGAACTGAGAGAAGGGGAAGAAAAGAGGCATTCCTTCTCATTTGGACTTATGTTCAATACTCATATGAATCCTGAAGAAATACTCGTATGAATCCTGAATAAATGGTTGGATGGCATCACTCAATGGATGTGAGTTTGGGCAAACTCCGGGAGATGGTAAGGACAGGAAAGCTTGGCGTGCTACACAGTCCTTGGGGTCAGAAAAAGTCGGAAAGACTGAACAACAACAATTCATTTAACCAGTGTCCGTTAACATACTCCTTCTAGAAAGTTAAACGGTGGGCAGTTCATGGAGGGACCTGACTGGTCTTTGAATAAAAGTGCATTGCTTACGGCAGAATCTAACACAACGTTGTAAAGCAACTATACCCCAATTTACTGGATGCCGGGCACTGGGAGACCCCGGCTCTCCAGTTACTGGTTGTGTGATCCACGGAAAGTTCCTGAATTGGACTTATGTTCAATACTCATATGAATCCTGAAGAAATACTCGTATGAATCCTGAATAAATGGTTGGATGGCATCACTCAATGGATGTGAGTTTGGGCAAACTCCGGGAGATGGTGAAGGACAGGAAAGCTTGGCATGCTGCACAATCCTTGGGGTCAGAAAGATTCGGAAAGACTGAACAACAACAAATTCATTTAACCAGTGTCCATTAACATACTCCTTCTAGAAAGTTAAACGGTGGGCAGTTCATGGAGGGACCTGACTGGTCTTTGAATAAAAGTGCATTGCTTACGGCAGAATCTAACACAACGTTGTAAAGCAACTATACCCCAATTTACTGGATGCCGGGCACTGGGAGACCCCGGCTCTCCAGTTACTGGTTGTGTGATCCACGGAAAGTTCCTGACCTGCCTGGCCTTTGCTGGCCCATCTGAGAAATAACAAGAACACAATTCTAAGAAATACAAAACCCACCTACTTCTGTTCTTTCACCAGATTCTTAAAACTATCAGTGAAGTAGGCTGGGCAGCATCTACCCTCTTGGTGAGACCACCTGTCCCATCTCTCTGCAAGCTGAGTGGGTGGGGTTGGCAGGCACAGCGTGCAGAGTCCCAGGTCTGTGTGCAGGGTCCATGGGGAGTGGCCTCAGTTCCAGCACTTCAGTGCTGGTCCCTGGGCCCCCCATAGAAGAGCCTGGGGCATATGGCTGGTCACAGGCCTCCAGATGACTCTGGGCCGAGGACGCGGTGCTGGAAGGCAGCGGGGCAGGCACAGGGAGCGGCTACCTTGATAGGAAGGCGTGATGCTGGGTGATGGCCTCGCAGTCGTAGGTGGAGGAGTCGCTCTGCTTCCGTGGCAGTGGCCGCTTGGGCTCTGCATCCTCCAAGGCGCTGGAGACGTCGATGCTGCTCTTGCTGAGCCGCTTACTGCCGGCCAGGCTGCACTCCTCCTCCGCCACCACCGGGGCGTCCTTGGGGGCCGAGCAGAGGACAGGAGGGCGCTGCAGTCACTCTGGGGACCCAGGACAAATGAACCCCCTTCTCCTAGGATGCGAGAGGCAGTACTTCTTCCAAAAGGAGCGTGGGAGCCACAACACAAAAAAATGGTGGGATTTTAGGCACAGGGCTGTCCCCTAAGTCCAAAGGGCTCACTGGAGGAACTTTCCTGACCTTCCAGTGGTTAAAACTCTGTGCTTCCACTGCAGGGAGCACCGGTTCAATCCCTGATTGGGGAGCTAAGATCCTACCTCCACACGGCCAAAAAAAACCCAGAAAACTTCTTGAACTGAATTAAAAAAATGAAAATACAAAATATCAACCTTTTAAAATTATAAAATAAAAAAAAAAGCAAAGGTCTCAGCAATCCAGTGGGACTCTGGAGAGCTCTCTGGGGACCTGATGCTAAAAGAGCCTTCTCCGGGCTTCAGTTTCCTCACCTGTGTTAGTAATCTCCCACCACTCTTGCAGGATTGTGAACACTTGGTAACCTGGATGTCACAGCACCAAACAGGGCTAACACTGCTCCCCCACGAGAGGCCCTGCTCCCCGGGGGGCTACCGAGGACATCCCCTCCCCCACCCCACCATTGGGCCCACACCTGGGTGCTGCTGAAGCTCCCCTTCCGGCTGCTGCTGCCAGGGCTGTCACCCGTGGGCCCCGCGCTGTAGCAGATGGCATCGAAGGCCAGGAGGCCCCCCACACAGTCCCCGATGAGGCACACCTGCAGAAGGCAGAGCTGGGACTGCGGGCCTGCCCACCGCCACCCCCTCGCCCCACACCCAGCCAGAGTGCAGGCAGCCCATCCCCAGGGGAACAGGAGCCTGTCCCAGGGAGGCACTGAGCATCCCAACAGGGGGACGGGAGGGTCAGCTTGAGGATGGGAACCAGGCTACAGTCAGGGTCAGACTTGGGCCATGGATCAGCGTGAGCTGAAAATCAGAACGCAGGGGCTGACCTCAGTTTTCCTATCTGTAAAATGAGGACAGGCCCAAAGATCTCAAAAGCCACTCAGGACGTCAGAAGCCAGGGCTGCGGAGCAGCCTGACCTAGCTCTCCCCGGCAGGCCCCAGCCTCTCTCCGGCAGGGACCAGGTCAGGGAGGTGAGGGGAGGCTGTCCTACCTGCCCACTGAAGCCAATCCCATCGGGGGACTTGAGGAACTCCGCGTACACCTGGTTGGCTCTCTCGATGACAGTGGCGACCGCATCCTGGTACTGTGGGGAGGAGATGGCCAACAAGGGCAGGGCGGCCAGAGGGACGTGGTCCTGGCTGTTGCTGAGACAGCCTGCGTCGTGGCTGAAGGGGTTCAGGCTGCAGACAGGAGGCCAAGGTAAGTCCACCTGGGACCAGGCAGGAGGGTGGCCTTGGAGTTGTGGATGGGGGAAAGAGAACACGCAATGACCAGAAACTGGGCCCTGGGGTCGGAGGCTCTTCGGGGGTCCCGGGCAGGAGACAGAGCACCAGCAATGTGTCCCGGGGTGGGGGGCGTGGCTAGCCTGTGATGACCCCCTGTGTGTCCATCCCGGGCCAGCCATGATGTGGCCCCTGGAGTCTCCCACGACAGCAGTGCTCTCTGCCCTTTTCTTTGCAGCCTCAAAGGACACACCAATTATGAGGAGGCCACTGGTGTGGGTCAGAATGGGGGTATGTCAGGACTTCCCCAGTGGTCCAGTGGTTAAGACTTCATGCTTCCACTGCAGAGTTCAATCCCTGGTGGGGAACTAAGATCCCACATCCATGCATGCTAAGTTGGTTCAGTCGTGTCCGACTCTTTGCGACCCTATGGACTGTTGCCTGCCAGGCTCCTTTGCCCATGGGATTCTCCAGGCAAGAATACTGGAGTGGGTTGCCACGCCCTCCTCCAGGGAATCTTCCCCAACCAGGAATCGAACAAACCCACATCTCTTGTGTCTCCTACATTGGCAGATGGGTTCTTTACCACTAGCGCCACCTGGCGGCCAAAAGGGGGTGGGAATATGTCATCATGGCAGACTTCCTGGAAGAGGTGGGGTTTGATCCATGACTCAAGGAAGTCTTTAGGGAAGCTAGAAAGAGGAGAGAGGGTGTGCCAGGCTTAGGGCTCACACACCAGCCATGCGGCTGCGTGTATGGTATCACATCTGTCTTTCTGGGGAGGGGATCCAGAGCCTTCATGGGCTTTGCAGAAAAGTCTGTGACCCCAGAAAGGGCTGAGAGAGCCTGTCGTGCAGCATCCTCCAACAAGCTGACTGACTGTCGGCCCCTCCATGGGCTCCCCCACTTCTCTGCCTCCCTCTCTCTGGGTAGCTCAGCTTCATCTGGGACCAGCTCCCAGTGGCCCGTGCCTGCCTGCACCCTCACCCATCCTACCTCTGACCCCAGGGGCATCGAGCCCAGTTGGCTGTGAGGTTCAGCAGAGGGGGGAACTGTACACCCCCTCCCCAGAGCCTGCCCTTCCCCCAGAGTCCAAGCTCAGGCTGACCCAGGACCCAACACTGAACCCAACAGGAATCTGATAGAAATTGAGGAAGGTGACAGGGTGCAGGGTAACATGCTAAGTTGGTTCAGTCGTGTCCGACTCTTTGCGACCCTATGGACTGTTGCCTGCCAGGCTCCTTTGCCCATGGGATTCTCTGGGCAAGAATACTGGAGTGGGTTGCCATGCCCTCCTCCAGGGAATCTTCCCCAACCAGGAATCGAATGAACCCACATCTCTTGTGTCTCCTACATTGGCAGATGGGTTCTTTACCACTAGCGCCACCTGGCGGCCAAAAGGGGATGGGATTATGTCATCATGGCAGACTTCCTGGAAGAGGTGGGGTTTGATCCATGACTCAAGGAAGTCTTTAGGGAAGCTAGAAAGAGGAGAGAGGGTGTGCCAGGCTTAGGGCTCACACACCAGCCATGCGGCTGCGTGTATGGTATCACATCTGTCTTTCTGGGGAGGGGATCCAGAGCCTTCATGGGCTTTGCAGAAAAGTCTGTGACCCCAGAAAGGGCTGAGAGAGCCTGTCGTGCAGCATCCTCCAACAAGCTGACTGACTGTCGGCCCCTCTTCTCTGCCTCCCTCTCTCTGGGTAGCTCAGCTTCATCTGGGACCAGCTCCCAGTGGCCCGTGCCTGCCTGCACCCTCACCCATCCTACCTCTGACCCCAGGGGCATCGAGCCCAGTTGGCTGTGAGGTTCAGCAGAGGGGGGAACTGTACACCCCCTCCCCAGAGCCTGCCCTTCCCCCAGAGTCCAAGCTCAGGCTGACCCAGGACCCAACACTGAACCCAACAGGAATCTGATAGAAATTGAGGAAGGTGACAGGGTGCAGGGTATCCTGGGCAGGTGACAAAGATCTCCTGCTGCACAAGTCCAGACTAACAGCCATTCCTCATCTCCAAAAAAACACAAATTAGAGGAAACAGCCCTCAATTGCAGCCGGAGAGATTTTAATTATCTGAGAAAGAGCTCCCTCCCAGCAGTGATTAGGGCTGATTGATGGCCCAGGCAAGATGCTGCCTGGGGGAGCTCTGGGCTCCCACTTGCTGGCCCCTCCAGTGTCCACAGGCCATTTGTCTTCCTGGAGATCAGGCCTGGGCTGGGTGACCCAGCTCTGGAGGTCAGATGTCCTGGGGGCGAGGGGGTTGCTGGGGGACTGAGATTGATTGTGAAGGAACACAATTAACTCCAACTGTTGGAGTGTGACAGACAGAGCCTTCATTCAGCCCAGCTTCCCAAACTCGCAACAGAGTCAAAGCCCGGAGGGAATCAGGATAGGATTCCAGGGCTCCTCCCCTCCGGATTCAGACGCCCCAGGGGGAGGCCTACCGCCTAGCAGTTTAACAAAAATCACACCCGGGATCTGGGCCATTAACCACGTTGCGGAAATACTGTTTCCTTCCTGAGCTAATCTCCTTCCTTGCAACTCTGATAGAGATCTGCCCAGCCAGTGCTCTGGGAACACAGATGACTCTAGAAGCAGAGGAGACTTTCCTTTCTCCCTCAGAGGGGACGTGTGAGACCCCTGCACATCCTCCCCGTGCCCCCACCCCAACCAGCAGAGCTGAGCCCCTGCTCCACCCCCCAGGGAGTTGGCACCAGGCTGGGGGTCTCTTTCTACCCTTCCCAAGAGGGCTCCTCTTTGCAGAGGCTGTGAAAGGGGGTAAAGCCCAGGAAAGCGGCACCACTGGCCTCCCTCTCACCGCACTACAGAAAGTTCCCGGCTCCAGTCCCAGCCATCTACCACCCGTCCTACCTCTGTCCCCAGGGGCATCGGGGACACATTAGACACTGCTCTGTAGGTGCATCCAGGGCTCCCGACTGGCTCCAGGCACCCCCTCCAACAAGGAGGGCATCTGGGGAGCACTGGGCTCCCGGATCAATGGACAGGATCTCCCACAGGGCCTCAGGTCCTGAGGGCCCCTGGTTTCTCCGTCTGTCCTGCAGAGGTTCCAGGGCAGGTTTGGATGAGGAGCCAATGAGAGCACACTGCCTCACTCCCAGCCAGTGGGGTTCTCTTCTCCCGCCCCGGCCCACTGCCCACCAAGGGACAGTGCTCCAACGAGGATGGTGACGCGAGTCACAGCCAATCCCTGAGGCCTACCGTGCGCTTCACACATACTTGCACAGAATCCTCACAAAAACTCTAAGACATGGTGGATATACCATGATCATCCCCACTTTACAGATGAGGAAACAGACAGGGAGATGTTAAACAACTTCCTGTGCTTTCCACCCCACCCCCAACCCCGGTCACACAGCTGGAACTCAAACTCAGGATGACTGAAGAGCCCACGCCCCTCACCAGGTTACACTACTCTCAAAGCACACCCCAAAGTCACCTCCTCCAGGAAGCCTCCCTGGCCTTCTCTCTGAGTGTCCACAATGCCATGTGCCACCTCCATCAGGGCACACATCTCTACTGGCTCTGACTGTGTGGCTCAAGAGTGGGGCTGCCTGGCTTTGACTCCTGGGTCCCTGGGCTGCATAACCCTGGAGGAAACTGCTTAACCTCTCAATGCCTCAGCTTCATTATCCAGGCCAACAAGACCAGGACCTGCTGAGCACAGCAAGGGAGTCTGAGCTATCTATCACAGGGCACCAGCACCACCCAGCCCTGGGCGGAGGAGGATTCGGTGCGTGTTAATCCCTTTAGACTCCTGCTGACCACTTCCCTCCGGCGATGCTCATGGTCAGTCAGGATCTGACACCCCAGGGAGGCCTTGGCAGGCGCCCACCTGCCCATGTGGCAGAGGCAGCCCCTCTGCCTAGGCAACCCCAACCAATTCAGCCAGCCAAAAGAAGCAGAAAGGAACTCACTTGGAGACAAGCGAGAAAGCCTCTGAGCAGATGGCAGGACAGGGGACGAATTTGACGAGAATGTGGCCCAGGGCCGCGGGGAAGTGGGCACGCGTGACCTTCTCCAGCACGGAGCTGAAGGTGTGGATGTCGGCCACCTTGCAGGATGGGTCCCCCGAGCCCGTGTCCAGGACATTCCCCCCGTGCAGCACCAGCAGGAGGACGTGCGTCTTGCAGGAGCGCTGCGGGCAGCCTTCCTGAGGGGGACATCAGTCAGGATAGAGAGAGACAGGCAGTGGGGTGGGGTGGGGAGGGGAGGCAGGGGGCACACGGAGAATCACACACACACAGGGGAGTCTGATGGCACCTCCTGTGCATTCAGAGTGCAAGCCCCAAAAGACTCTTCCTATTTGTACGGGGGCTGGAAGCCCAAAGGACAGTGTGTGTTTGGTCGCTCAAGCCTATCTGACTCTTCTGTGACCCCATGGACTGTAGCCCACCAGACTCCTCTGTCCATGGGATTCTCTAGGCAAGAATACTGGCATGGATTGCCATTTCCTCCTCCAGGGGATCTTCCCAACCCAGAGATCAAAACCCTGTCTCCTGCATTGGCAGATGGCTTCTTTACCAGGGAAGCCCAGAGAGGGACAGAGACCAGCACCAGGTCACACAGAAAGTCCAGTGAGGAGCTGGGGTGGCCTGTCTACCGGCTAGGGACTCTTCCCAACTTTCTGACCCCAGAGGCGGCCCAGACACCCCCAGAAACCCACCTCATTGTCTTCGTGGATCTCGATGCTTCCTTGGGCTGGGAACCTCTGTCTTCTCAAGGAAACCCGGTACAATTCTCCTGTAGGGCGGGGAATGGAGGACTCAGCATCTCCAGGCCTCCCTCACAGAGACTGGACACTTCCTGGGCCCTGGCTGGCCCATGGCCTGGGCTCCCAGGAGAACTGGAACAATAGCATCTGGAGCTTAGAAGAACCACGCCGCCGAGCCCCCACCTCCTACATCAACACAACCTAAAACCTTTCTCCTCCTCGGGAAAGGGAGGCGGGCAGTGAGGCCGGACATGAGGTCCCTGAGGCCAGGAGGGGTGTCCCAGAAGGGAACTCTCCTGCTCTTTCTTCCTCCCCAGTAACTTCAGCAGCAGGATAAGTGTCATCTCGTGATTCCCAGTATGGATGGAAACTTGAGCCAAGCATTCTCTGAAAAATAACTAGAGGAGCTGGATAAAATATTTTTTTAAAGATCTGCTTGAAGTCTTCAAAGTGACTGCAAAGCCTTAAATGATGGGACCCCGGTGCTGGGGAGGTGGAGCCTCCAAGAGGCAAAGCCAGCATCTGGAACCATGCATGCTGTCACTCACAAGCTTCGGGGCCAACCACTGCCGGGAATTTTCTTTGCTTCTCTCAGCCGCCACCTCCTCCTCCAGGAAGCACTTCTGAGCATCCCGCCCTGCCTGAGCTCCTGTTCTACATACGTGCAGGATTCTGGACACGACAGCTGCGGACCAAATCTGGCCCGCCGTCTGTTTTTGTAAATAAAGTTTTATTGGGGCACAGCCGGCTCTTTCATTTACGTGTTGTCTGTGGCTGCCTGTGCCACAGTGACAGAGTTAACTGGTCATCACAGAGTCCGTACAGCCAGCAAAGGACTATCTGACCCCTTACAGAACAGTTTGTCTGGTCTAACACCCACATTTCTGAAAGCCACTGCACTGGACTCTCAGGTGGCGAGAGGCCTTTAATACATCCAATGGCTCCCTCACGGCCCATCCAGTGATGCCAGCCACGGAAAAATCCTCACCACCTCTCCTTTCTCCCCATGAGAAGGGTACTGTTTCCTCTGTGTGGCTGAACCACACGGTTGGACTGTGAGCCACTTGTTTGCCTCCAATGACTGGGAACTCATTCACCACTAAAGCAGCAGGTTCTAGACAGGATGGCCCTCTCTCCATGCCCTCACGTCCAAGGTCGCTGTGCCTGGAAGCCCAAGCATCCTTCCGCCTACACCTCGGACACTTCACTCTGCGCCCTGGAGGGATGGATCTCCTCGTCCTCTTCATCTGTGGCCTGAAGAATCCTCAGCAGTTTGAGCTCAGGATTCCAGCTGATGCCAGAAGCGCTCTCTGGGGTCTTCACTTGGTCTTCCAGCAAAATCTCCATCTGAGTCCTGATGTCCTTCTTATTATATTCTATTTGGGGTAATTCAGGACTGCGGGAGGAGTCCAGCGATTCCTTAGCGATGTTTGTCTGTGATCTCTCTGTGGAATCCTGTTTCAGTGTGGGGCCTTCTGTCTTCATCGGCTGCTGCTTTCTGTCACTTTCCTGACCTCGTAGAGTTTTGCGACCACGGCGTGGGGCACCAACCACGGCACCTGAACGTCTGTGTGAGCTGTTGTGTCTCCCTGGTTCATTCCTGCATCTCTTTCTAGCCTCCATCTATTTTCAGGTTAGAATAGCGTTTCTTCAAATGTTCAGGATATCTCAATGCTGGTTTTTGTAGGGTGAGGCGGTGTACAGATAAATACATCTTAGCAGAAATGGCACTGTCGGGCCGGCTCTTTTCCAGGGGAGGTTTCTTTTTCATCATGGCCAACTATAACACCCACATTTCTGAAAGCCACTGCACTGGACTCTCAGGTGGCGAGAGGCCTTTAATACATCCAATGGCTCCCTCAAGGCCCATCCAGTGATGCCAGCCACGGAAAAATCCTCACCACCTCTCCTTTCTCCCCGTGAGAAGGGTACTGTTTCCTCTGTGTGGCTGAACTACACGGTTGGACTGTGAGCCACTTGTTTGCCTCCAATGACTGGGAACTCATTCACCACTAAAGCAGCAGGTTCTAGACAGGATGGCCCTCTCTCCTTACCACTCCACCCCTATTCCCTATCGCCAGCCTGCGGCACCCATTAGGAGTCACGTCTGGGGAGCAGCCTTCCCAGGGGCTTTGCGGGCAACCCTGTGGTGAGTGGGGGTGAGAGCCCTGGCCAACATGTTTCTGAGTCAACAACATCTCAGCTGCTCTGGCCCCAGGGGAGGGTGCGTCTGCAAAGAATTCCAAGTGAGAAGCTTTGCTCAGCCGGGAAGTGCATTTCTGAAATATTGTGTCCTCTCGGACACAACTCTGGTCTAAGGGTAACTGCTTTATGAGCTTGGAGCTGCTGCCCACACAGACAGGAAATCGTTTCCCCGATGATGGAGGGGGTTGCCTTGAAGGAGGAAGAAGAAAAACTTGTTTTGAGGCTGGACTCTGCCCGGCACTTACTCAGGCTCCTTCAGTGGCTCAGGCTCTTCTGCCTTATTTCTAACATCCTGTAGACCTTGCCCTGGGCTTGGCTAGAAGAGGCCTGCACCCCGTCTTTAGGATAGGATCATAATAAAAGACATCAGTAAAGGACACATTTTTATTGAGCACATATTATGTCCCAGGCATTATGAGCTTTACAGGTACCATCTCATATAGCCCCCACAGTTAGCCTCTGAGCTGTGGTCCACTTCTTATTAGCTCCATTTTACAGATGAGAAGACTGAGGCTCTAACAACCAAGGTCACTTGCCCCAAACCACACACTAATTAAGACTGAGCAAGCTGCCCCACACTTAATGGAAGACAATGCTTGACAAAGCAGTTCCTCTCCCATCCCCCTGACCTCCACAGCTTCCCAATGAGGCAGTTATGACAATCTCCTTTCTACAGGAGAAAAAAACAGGAGCACAAAATGTTAAGTGACACCTGGAAGACCAAAGTCCCCAAGACCTCTTCCCACTGCACTTGAAACAGTCTGCATTATTGTAAAGTAATTAGCCTCCAACTAATAAAAATAAATGGAAAAAAAAAACAGTCTGCTTGTGGGAAACCCCAAGAAAGGACACGGGCTGTCACTTCCCCAGAATGAAGGGACCATGTTTCATAGTGCATGCATCCTCATGCATGCAGTTCTGGGGCAGGTGGACCAGGAGGAACTGGGAGCTGGGCAGAGCTGAGGTCATGGGCAGGAAGCCTGGAAAACCCCTCACTTCTGGGGCTGGGAGAGACCTAGTTGGGACCATGGACTTTGGAGCCAGAATGCCTGAATACAAATATAGGTTCTTTTTTCCCCCCCCCCCAATTTATTTATTTGCTTGCCTGCACCAGATCTGTGATGCAGCACGCAGGCTTCTCTTATGAAATGTGGGCTCTAGAGCTCACAGGTTCAATAGTTGTGGCACTAGGGCTAAGTTGCCCCACAGCACATGGGATCTGGGTTACCTGACCAGCGATTGAACCCATGTGCCCTTCATTGGAAGGTGGATTCTTAACCATTGGACCACAAGGGAAGTCCCCAGCTCTGGTAAAAGCTGGTAGGCTCTTACCATCTGTGAGTTCTGTGCCTCAGTTTCCTCATCTGAAATATGGGCATAATAATAGAAGCTACCTTATAGAGTGGATGATGAGGATAAAGGAACCCATATATACAAAGTGCTTAGGACAGGGCCTGGAACATGGTAAGTGCTATATAAGTGTTAGTAGTTGTTTATTATTATTACTGTGATCCAGAGTGCATCAGGGTGGGTGGAGGGTGGGGCATAGAGCCAGAGCCACAGCTGACACAATGGGGCCAGAAGCTGATGGGGACGTCACCGCCTCCACACTCCTGCCCTGCCCCCAAGTCCCTCCCTGAGACCTGGCAGGCTCCCCAGCCTCACTGGGCTGGATGCCTGCTTGCAGTGTGATTACAGAATTAAATACTGTGATTGCCACAAATTATCATAGCGAGGCTATAAATAAGTTGCAGGGAAGACATGAGGGTCCTGCCATCTCCTGGGCACCATGCCCTCTGTTAGGTGGGGACCGCATCCTGTACCCTCGCTGATTACACAGACTCAGAGCACCTGCATCCTTGATCTTCCTGTGGTCAGCTCCCTTGGGGCCCACATGATGCTCTGGGCATCAAATCTACGCTGAGCCCTGGACACAAACAATGCTGAGGCAGTTCCTGGCTCAGAGGAGACAAGAGACCAGCAGGTTGCCCTCACCATCCCTCACCCCTTCTCTAGCTGAGGGGAAGAGTCTGACCCCCCAAGCTGTTTGAAGATGGAGACTTGCTTCCTTTTAATGCACAAAAGTCAGAGATGCTTTGCTCTAGGAGAGGGGAGGAGGGGAAACTTCACCTGCCAGATTGGGATTCTGGCCCCTTGAGAGCTGACTAACAGGAGCAGGGTTTCCCCATCTCTAGTCTTCGAAGAGGCCTCTGTAGACAAGCTGAAAGGCAGTCTAGTACCCGTCTGCTGGTATCTTGCCCACAAGGGTTCTGCTCCTCTAAGAACCAGACATTCCTACCACAATAATTGAGGCCACTGGCTCTGAATCACCCAAAGACACAGCTCTCACTCTTTCACGCCTTTGCTCATCCTAAACCCTCTGCCTGGTAAGGCCTTCCTCCTCTGCAGACCAGCAAACTCCCACCTAACTTTCAAGACCCCACTCAATTGTCACCACCTCCGGAAAGCTTTCTGAGATCTACTCAGAGATGGTTATCTCACAGTGTGCCTGGTGGGGCCTGGCTTGTTGCTGTGAGATTACTTGTCTATTTCCTCATCAGACTATGGACCACTGGAGAGCACAGCTTATCAGTGGTCAGGACCTAGCATGGCATTTTTGTGAAAACTTATTGCAAGTGAAGAGCCCAGGGTGCACATGACCTAGGAGACATCTCTATGCCATCAGCCCCCTAGGAGAAATCAGGATCAAGGGAGCATCATCCACTGGGAGGTACGATCCGTGGAAGTCCCCAGAGGAGTGCTATCAGGGAACCTCTGGGAATTCTAGAGCAGTCTGGCCTGGGCCTCATCAATCTGCCCCTAG